CAAAAAATACCACAGTGTTCATTTCAATGAAAAGATCGATTTTTTCACAATGAAGTTTAATGCAGTTGCGAGATATTTCGAATCAATCCACTGCAGATGAAGAATAAATTTCAAGAGAGGAGCACCGTGTTAGTATGACCCGACTTCGTGCTTCACGAAAACAAGAACACAGAGAGGCCATACTTGAAACACCTCGGTTGGCAAGGAGAAATCGTCGAGCAGAACACAGTGATCAACAACGTCGAGCCGTAAAAAGAAATGTTTCAAGTGTTAATTTGCTGGCACCCTTTCGTTCGAATTGAAGAAGAAAAAGAAGAAGAAGAAGAAGAAGAAGAAGAAGAAGAAGAAGAAGAAGCAGAAGGTTGTGTGTGTCCACTGCGGTGCATTTAAGTTCGTTAGAGAAATGCCTGGAAAGGTTAAATTACCACTGTTGCCTTCGCCACCTGAGCCATTGCATTCATTGCTTCATGGCGAAACTCAAGAATCACGACATTTTCTTTCGAACGCTCAAAGGTACAACGTACCGTATGTTTCCAAATAACTTCATTTGGAGCAAATATTATCGAAGAACGCGGTTTCAATCCGACATGTAAGGTAATTTTTATTAATAAGAGAATAATCTTCATTTTTGGTGTCGACTTTACAAATTCACCATAGAATTGGATCATTGTAACCGGTTGAAGACTCAGCATAAATTCTTACAAATTTACTTCATGAGCAATATGTAAATAGGACCAGCTTGATCGGCGTCAAACAGTCAATAACGCAATGAAAAAAGAAATTATTCAAGATTTGCAGCAAATACTTCATGAACATCATGCATTGATTCAGTTGTTCAAAACTGCGTTGGATCGTATGCCAAGTAATGACTATAAAGTCGTGATTAGAGCAGATAAACGATCCGCTGGAACACCCCCGATGATTTGCCTGATCCGGAATTCTTAAAGACCAAGATAATGGAAGAAAATGATATCAAGAAGAAGAGTACACGAGACATCTTAGAAAACGCAGTGCATCGAAAAATCACTGGCGAACTCCAGTGCGAAAGAAGTACAGATAAAACGTGTAACTATGAAAGAAAGTCATAGATGTAGAAGCTAGCTAGAGAGTGGCATCGGCTCTCATAAGAGCAGTGAGCCACACAACATCCAAGAAGTTCGAAGAAGTTGTTGATTTGGTATTGAGTCTAGCTAACAAAAAGTTAATCAAACTCGCCTCAATCGGTGTCGCCTTGTTCATGGCCAAGGTGTTTGGCCCTGCATGTGCCCGATTTAAACACCAATCTGCTATCAGTTGACAAAATGACTAGAAGGGCTGCGCAGTGGAATGGCAGTGGTGTTACAGCGCAACGATGCCTTATCACACGGCACTGACGGTAGCGGATCGCGGCGGGAATGGAAAGAATCCGCTCTTTTCACGTCGTGGAAATAATCCCATACTATAACTGTGGCATCCCTAAACGCTTTAAATAGTGGAATCGTGATCGGTCCAAAATTAAGTGAATCTAACAGAACGTAAATTTTCCTACAAAATCTACCACTACGGCAAGATGACGCGTACTTCTTTCCCGAAAATGTGTGAGGGGAATTCGAAGCTCCTAGACCTAAAGTCACTAGATCTATTATTACTTTTAGAAAGTACGGCAAACTGCCAGTGCCCGGCGGTCGACAGAGACGAACCTAACCTATGTGCTAGACAAAGATAGCGCGAGACTAGTAATTTTCGCTATCAAATGTAGGAACTGCCAAAGAAAGTTTGCTGTGTTTACGATTTGAGGTTACGACAGACTGTACTTGAATTATCGAGTCAACGAACCGAAAAGAACACTATTCCAGTCTCAAACTAACTCCAGCCCTATCCAACGAGAAAATGTCACAGGCAACCGACAGTCATGGAGGACGTGGTACCAGTAAGACAATTGACACTATTGACAGCCAAATGACAGTAACAGGATCGCCATACTGGAAGCAAAAAATACCTGTTGCCAAAAACACAGGTACCACAAATACCAAGGACATATTTGTTTTTTATAAAAGTTACTAATTGCTACACATTTCAAGATCAAGTCACATTACCTAGACCTGGTTCACGCGGATGTGTGTGCACTGAATCTCACGATAAGGCCAAATATTTTGTTAAGTTTATAAATAATCATTCCGGATGGTGAAAAGTGAGATCCTTACAATCCAAAAGTGAAAGCTGCCGAGAAAGGGCATGAGGCCATCGTCCTCACGAGAAAACAAAAAGGAAGAAAGCTCAAGTGCATCTAGTCTGACAGCTGCACGGAATTCTTTAGTCGAGAATTTGATCAATTGTTGAAGGAGAAGGAAGGACATTTCTAGTCGGCTGACAATACAAACAGGAACAAAACGGTGTGGCCGAACGCAAGAACAGAACTTTCTTGGAAATGGCTTGATGTTTGTTATCGAGTCGGGTCTACTTCCTTCTTGCACTGTGTGCGAAAAACGACATCAATATGACACTGAAATAGACTATCGAAAAGTCGATATTATGAAACGGAATTAGAAAAACATTAAAAATGTCCATCTTTCGCACTGACTGTAAAAAACGTCAATATGATATTGAACTGGCAACCGAAAAGTCAATATTATAAAACGTATCGGGTGTCTAAATAAAATTCTGGTCAAGAAAGTTGTCAGCAGCTTTTCCTTTTTTCCGTATGTCGTTTTCGAAATGAATTTTGAAAGCTGTCATCCGCTTGTCGCATCGACTGTTGTGAATTAATAATCTTTAAACTGAGCTTGACATTGAATGTGTGATAACTGTCTCTAACACAATGGCAAACACTGCGACATACGGAAAAATACAATAAAGTAGAAGGAAGCGCTCTTAATTATATTTTTAATTAAAAACCCGTTAGTTCAAAATAGTTAATATTTATGTATCAAGTACATAATCAAAGGTTTTATTGAACAAGCCCGTTTATCGACGAGCGAAGAATGAGCCAATCCAATAAAAAGGGCGGTTCAATAACGACTGATTATCCACATGGTGCATAGATGATTTTATGGTCGATTGCAATAATTTCTCTTTTAAGCAAGGATGAGAATAAAAATTATTGAATGAAACAAAAAATCGATTCCAGTAGTAACATCATTGAAGGCAAACTAATAAAATTGTTGCTAGTTAGCGCCAATTTATTTCCCGAAATTAATTAGTTTCCAGTTGATTTCCCGTTGTTTTCGCTGTTGTTATAATGGAGCAAACCACTAAAACATCCCCAAAAGCAAAATAATTGCTTTTTAGGACCCAATCGAAATTACTGAGTCATTCTTGATTTAATTAGTAAAATAAATTGTTTCATTCATTAATTTTTTTGAGTCAACCTGCATAAGTAATTCGGAAAACTATAAGTGCAATGATAAATTACAAGTACAGAGTCACAATAGTTTGCTTGTTTCTGAGAGAATTTATTAGAATTAGGCAAAATTTTGAGATGACTCATACATTTTTGGTATACGATAAACGAATAAATTTTTAATAGTAATTTACCATGATTACGATAACCTTAAAACGTTTCCAAAATTTCAGAACATTCGGTTTTGCAGTTTCAAAGTTAAATTGGAAAATGTTTTTTTTATTTTAAGCAGTGTTTGTATAGAAGAATTACCCAATATGGCTTGAAAAAACGGTACGACACGAAGGTAGAATTTCAGCAAAAAGTGAATCTGCTACAAGCCATAGCATTCGTGCCAGGCGTTTGAGATTATATTAGAGTCAGTTACTTTACCCCCAGAAATGCAACAGCTTTTGTATTATCTTGAAGACACTTGGATTGGAAAGCTGGAAAGACGAACACGTAATTGACCAACATTTTCTTACCCTATTTGGAATTGTTTTCAAAATATCACCGATAATATTCCCCTCACAAACAACAGTGTGGAAGGATGGAACAGAGGCTTTTTATCGCAGATAAAGGGAGAGAAACCCTCAATATGGAATTTCTTAGAAGCGCTTAAAAAGAAGCAAACGATGGTAGAGCTCAAAATTGTGAAGGAACAAAGTGTAAATAAAATGCCAAAACGCAAATACGATAATCTTAATGAAAAACAAAAAAATATCTGTAGTGAATTTGACAACGCTTTCAGTAACGATGAGATTATTGAATATTTACATAGAATAGCGTTGATAATTTGATTTTCTGGTTGTGTTTTACTGTATAATTTTATTGCGTTACTTCTTTGTTCATTGTTGTAGTTGGTCAATGTTTCAAATAAAATTTATTTCACCTTTCGAGTAATTGTTTTTCCATTAAGGGTTTTTGGAACAAATGTTTCTTCGACTAATTGTGGTTTCCAATAATTATTTTTCGATCAATTGTTTTCGAGCAACTGTTTTTCGATCAAATGTAATTCGAGAAATTTTCCGCCACCCGTAGAGAATACATTGGTGTTTTAAATAATCGTTTGCTGCCATTTTTAAGTACCCGCGAGAAGGATTGTTTCATCACGACAATGCAAAATTCACATAAGTCGGGCAACTTTGGGATGGTTACATCAGGAACAAGTAGTGTGAGTTTTTTGTTAGTCAGGCCGATCGCAAGATTTAAACATTATTATCGAAAACCTTTGGGTCATTCTAGAACGGGACTGCTAATCGGTAGGTAATATACCATAGTAGACAAATTAAAAAAAAATGTAATGTTAATGGCGTAAGACACTTTAAAAAGATGTCGTATGATTAAATCAATTAGGAGTATAAATTCTTCATTAGTCGAAACAGTAAGAAAAAATTGTGGAAAAATATCTTATTAAATAAATAAAATAAATTCCGGATATCAATTGTTTCGTCTTTCAAATGCACGTGCGGATGTGTGGATTGTGAAGCTTATGGAATCGTATGAGGGAATGAAAACACTAATTTTCCTAAGAAATGCATAACGGTGAAGACGATGTGGTTAAGAAACAAACAAAAGAAAAAGGCACATTAATAAAATAAATATTGGAGTAATGTGATAACTGATAACCTTCTATTCTTACCTGTTGCTGTTATGTAACCGCTTATCAACTTCAGGTTCTTCTTTGAGAAATGAAGGTTGCAAGCTAAATCGCCTGCGGAATTGATGTCTCCCGTGCATCAAATATTTGAAATGTACTTCAAAATTTATACTGAAAAACAAAAATAATTCTATAGTTTCTCTAATAAATATTTACTAAAAATATAATTCATCAAATCTCATTATCAAATCAGTGCTAGATTTTGTTCACGGCAAATAGGATTTAAATTTAAAAATTCAAAATAGGAATAACCGATTCAATAAACATTTTCAAACGCCAGATATTAGGGAATAAACAACAATGATAGCTCAAAGTTCTCAGGATTCAATGAGTTTGCCATCAAACTTATTTTATATTATCTTTACTGTACTTTATCTTTAATATCCTAAATTGTATAATGTGTGGGATTCTTTTCATTAACAATGTGCCAGAATATACAATTTCTGCATTTGGAGTACTGCATCTTTCATGTTAAAAACTTTCCCCAATTTGCTGCTCGGCAAATAAATTGCTTTCTCTTTTCCATTCACTATGAAGATTTTCTATCTTTGTTTGCTTCTGGAAACATATTCTGGCATTGATATTTTATCACCCGAGTTGTCATAGTTTCTATAATCAGAATCTGCCTTTTGCTTTTACTTTTCTTTGCGGAAGAATTTGTGTAAAGCTTAGCGCTATGTTATCAACAAGTTGCTTTTTCGTAACTAAAGCTATTATTACTGTAAATTATGGCTAGAGAAAAGCACTTATCCTGACGTGAACATCGGAAAATGTATTGTTTTCTCCCTACCAATTTATTTACAACAGACGACTCCACTTTTAGTACAGAAATAAGTTGCATAATTTTCGTAATTGCTAAGGTCCATTTTTCTTTCGTACAATGGATAATTCTGATTTCTGCGGAATTTTATAAGTCTTACAATTGTTTATGTAACTTTTTATGCCCTTATGGAGTTTTATCAGGTACTTTTTTATTTTTAAATAATAATCCATTTCGCAGAACATGACTCCGACATTATTTTTTTTTTTTTTAAACAAATGAGTTTGTAAGACTTGGAGTTCGAATTGTTTTTCAATTATCCACTTTCCAAAAAGCAAACATCATACAATATATGTTTCTACACCTAGTCACGGTTTTCAGGTCAATGTCAGAATGTGATTTTGTATTAAAAACCTTTTAAGCGTTTTCACATACAGGCGTTCAGAAATTCGAGCACCAAAATATTAAGAAGATACCTAGAAACATTTACTAAATGGGGGAGAAATATTGAAAAAAAAAAAATCGGGGCTTTATTATTCAAATTGTGGAGCCTAAAATTTAACTTTTCTGTTAAATATTTCTATAATGCATGATTATAATTTACTACAAAAATTGTTTTAATTACTTAAAACAATATTAAAAACATAATACGTTAATCAAAACAGGAAATTTTAAATTTGAAATCATTTTAAACCCCAGTCCAAAAAATTTACTTTTACGTTGAATTAACAACGGCAACATCCCTATCTCAACAATAAAATTTACATCTTACTGTTGTTGACAGTTGTAGTTACAGCTCTTATTCGGTAAAAAAATGTCAATCATTTGTCAACGTCGGCGTCGTTTCATTTTTAGCAGCAAAATGTTTTTATTCGTTGAATACTCTGCGACATGTAATTGGTACTGGGGAGAAATAATAGGAATGCCAGAAGGTCGGGAGTTGAGTATAGGGAAACCTATCCACACCCAAGACATCCTTGACGCTATAGCAAAGCGCAAGCCGTGGACAACGGACATTATGAACCACGAACAAATTATTGACAACGGTCGTTGCAGAAAAAAGATTCAACAAAATACACGTTCACTAGCGATGGAGTATTTAATTAAAAAACTAATTTTTGGGATATTGTAAATCCTCATGTAATAAGACGTAGAGGATTTCAACAGCAGAGTTCTGTTAACGTTCGGTAAGGTATTATAACTACCTCAATAATCCCACTGTGCTTGCCCGTAGAACAGATCATAATGCGGTTTTAGATCTCCTAAACAACAAAATGCAAAATCTACTTGATAATGTGCCAGTGAAAGTTCACCAGAATATGTAGATACAATTAAATAGGGGCACTGTGCATTTTGCAGTCACAGTTCGGCAATGACTAAATGAACAATACCCTCAAGAATGAATTGGACGAGGTGCTCCGGTTGCATCGCCACCCAGGTCCTCAGACTTTTTTTATGGGGATATATGAAAAATCTTATTTATCGTAATGCGCTGCCAAATCGGGAAGATGTAATCGAACGCATAAAGTCAACCGCAGCCACAGTAATCCCTGAAATGGTTGAAAGAGTGCAGTAATGTCAGAAGACGAGCTGTAGCGTGAAGTACATGGTCAAAATTTTGAACCTTTTGCGTTGGTTGTTAATTTTTTTACTTTTGATATTTAATAAAATTTTTCAGTTTTAACAGCAAATTATTATTAACAATTTTTACTTTGTTATGGCAAAAATAATGTTTCCAAACGCTATTGATTTATCCTAAAAGCAGACTACACTCTGCAAAAATTTTTGTTGCTTGCGCCCATCCAGCTAACTGAGTGCTCATAGGTACGATGTCGATCTATTAAATTGTGTGTATAATTAAAAATCATCAGATTTATTTTATTTGAAACAATTAACGACTGCATTTTACTGAGAGATTTTAACAAGTTTCAAAGTGATTTGGGTCTAATAATTGCCTGAAATATTAAAAAGTTCCACAAACAATTGTATTAACATTGATTGATTTGAAAAAAAAAAAAAAAAAAAAACCCAAGCGATGTCTGCATGATGGTACTACTGAAACACTGCAATTGAGTGGACTTAAAGCACAAAACCATTCACAAAACTGTCAAAATAATTATGTTAAAAAATTGGTAATTTGATCCAGAGTTGTCTTCGTTGATTCGCAAGCTTGATACGTTCGGACACATTTATTTATTACTATTGTTGTCCACGATACGCATGGTGGCATGGTTTACTTATTTCAACCAACTATTTCATCTACTTTAGAAAATGCAATGCTGTCCTTTTGTGTTAACTTTTGTTAGCTTTTTTTACGAAAAGTTGGTTCGAATTCTAATTCATGTGATTTACAGTCTTCAGAATTATCGCTGACGGTAACAGAATTTTGGTGCCCCAATTTCCGAACATTGTGTATATTATACACAAAACCAATTTCTTAATGGAAACCGGAATTAAATAATTATAAGAATAAGTTGTAGCACGAAATATGCTCATTTTTCTATAATGTTCGTTACGCTGTTCTTCAAATCTGTCAAAAACGAAATTATAAATGTCTTAGCCTTGATTTCACTGTGTTCTCATTTCAAATAAATTCGTATTAAATTAAAATTATCCGAACTACACTCAGTTACGAGAAAATAAAGTGCAAGAAGTAATGTGTAATATTTTAGTTTATTTTAATTTTTTTGGGTTTAATTTATATATTTAGCTAAAATTTATTTTTTTATTTAGGTTGTACGTGCTAAGAAGTGTTTTTAATTCATCAGTGAAATAATACGTTTATTTTTAGGTGTAACATTATATTATTATATTAACTTAACACAGAATATATCCACTGTTGTATCTCAATTTAAAATTCTGATTTTTTTATTAATCTACATTGTATAGAGGCACTGCATTAGCTTTTATTTATTTTGTTGTTCAAAACTATGTTAAACAACAAAAACTAGTGGTAGAATAAATCGTCTACCGTGATATGACGATAATATTTAATTTGTTTCTGGCATTTAATTCCATATTCGGATTTTTAAAACTACTATTGCAAACTCAGAAACAACACAAAAATTATGACGTCATGTATTGCAAATCAATGACAGACCGCTCTAATTAGTTAAACAAGTCTTTTATCAGATCTAGTAGAATGTACTTACGCATAAAAATTTTACTGATTACTTGACTAGAATTCGTTATAATTAATATAAGAATGTAACATTATTACAAAGTGACTTATTAGTCTTGACGTGAAAACTTGTAAATATAGTTTATACTTTACTTTTGATATTGCTAACTCTAAAATGTGTTATAAAAATTTAACTGATTAAGCGTCACTCTTAATTATCTGTATCTGATTTCCTTTAGGGTTTTACAAATCTTCATCAAATCGATATAATAGTCATTTAATATTTACTATTAGCAAAACGAATACGATAATATCCATACTGTATTTCTAATAAAAGAGTGAATTAACATAATAATGTATCCCACTCACAGTTTTCCAATTATATTTGCGACATATGACAGACAAAACAAAAATATATTTATTTTATACTACTGCCGAGTCACATGTACCAGGTGTTCTTTATCCTAGACACATTAAAATATTACAAAAAGAGCTGGATTATTACTTGATAAAAAATGTAAATGGCCTTCAATATCGAGAACATTTATTTCTGTACAGTGAAATTATCCGATATGAATTCTGTGGATACATATAATAAGTGCATTTGTCACCAAACTGATAAAAACTGATACGATAACTATATCTCCAAATTCCTGCAAATATGTAACTTTCCTAACAAAGTGAATTAAAAGCACTACCATAAAATAACCAGATTGTAAAAAAAAAATTATTTTTTATCAACATATTTTGAACAATTTTTATAACACGATGAGTGCTTAGAAATGAACAGACATATTGCACCAAACAATGAAATACTGAAGTTTCCCTTTTGTTATTATTAATTAAATAAATACAAAAACATGCAAAATACTCACCTTCTATTTAAGCAGAGAAAGCTGTGTGCGATATAAAATACAAGAAACAATTCATGAATAGCTTTAAGACACACTACGGGAACCAACAGGTTGGTAGCAAACCTTTGACTGTTCCCGGAGCGGCTCCGGACGGGCTCCGGGCCCGCGTCTGCGCTTAAAATAGTAATCAACATGTGCTAAAGGACAAGATCATTGAACCAAGCTTATTTATTTCAGCTTTCTACACATTGATAAATTTATACATCCGAACGAAAAAAATATAAATTGCAATTGTAGAATATCCCCAAATTTAATATTTAAGATTTCTTATTCAAACGCGTTAACATTACATAAGGAAGTTAAAAATTAAACAGTGTGTTATTCAACCAAATTGACATTAAAACTATAAACATGAGGAATGAAATAGTGAAAAGAGAAGTTAGAGACACACTTAAACAAATAGTGACGTTACTATGTAAAAATTAAGTAACTAGGAGTTACTGATATGAAAGGATCTTTTTTTACAGGAAGGTCTCAAAGTGTGAAATATAAGGTTTAAGGCACGTTTCCCCAGCTTATTTATGAAGAGCAGCTTCTGAAAGCTCTAATAGTTACGTAGACAAACAACATTTTTTTTACATTTTAACTTGTTAATTAACATATAATTCTTTAAGACTTTATCAAACCGCAATAAATACTGAACATATACCCCAGTTGTTTTGGGAAAATTTCTACAAAAAGCATTTATTTTGACAATGTGTAGCAAAAAGTTGCCAGAGAAAAGTTTAATTATTAAACTAAGGCTAGCGATTCCAACATTCCTCAAACTATGCTTAGCGGAAAATTCGAAAGGAGTTTACAAGCAATTCTGCAATGTCTCGGAAGCTATTACATTTGCGCATTATGCGGATAACCCAACATCCATGTAGGCACATTATACTATGTAAAATATATGACTTTAAATGAATATCAATATTACTAAACATTCAAAACTGACTGATTTTTTACATTATAAAAATAACAAACTTCGATTCAAATATCTAAAATATCCACGAAGAAAGAAACTTTCACACAGAAGCTACTAATACTAATAGTTCTATTCATAAAAGTACTCTTATACTAAATTCTTGTTACAGATGTGATTATCTTCGGTATATATTTTTCTGTTGAATGTTTGAAAATAAAGAAATACAACTGACGAATGTACCGCTTCAAGACAATGGGCTAATATAGGGGCTGTTACAGAGTACCTACTATCTAGAAAACGACGTAGTATCTGGAAATTACATTTACCAGGGACGTTTGTGTATGTACTCTAAATAGGGGTGGACGCACAACATTATTGCGAGAAAGGATGTTACATTTAATGAATGGACCCCGTATGATAAACTAGGTTTATAGGCCTGATATGATTTTAAGGTAAATTGATTTATTAAAAACTACTATTAATTATTTTTCTGATATTCGTTCTACTAAATATAACCGCCAATATTGATCAACTACGGATGAAATAACAGAATAGGAAATTGTTTATTCAGAAGATATCAAACAACGTAGGGTTTGTTCAGCCTATTGTTCGATCCATTTTGGGTTGATAGAAAATTATAAGCAATTCGGTTTATATCGAAGAATTTGTGGCGGTGTTGTCAGTCATCAAAAATATGCAGTTGATACATGAATCTTACAGATAAAATCGTATAATAAAGTTTTTTTACTTCGCACCTATTCGTCTTAAAATTCGATTTTTACTTTCCGAGAGTAGCTAAGGCAATAGATAGTGTGATAGTGTAATCCAGGGAATAGATAATTTTGTTTCCTGGCCCGTAGAGTATGAAAAACTAAATCTCCCGTCTCCGTCTGTCTGTCGTCTGTGTTAGTTGTTGTCAAATTTTATATGTATAATTCCTAAAATATATGTACATCGTATAGATGGTACCTAAAATTTGTCTAATCACCCCCACCAACAATTTGGTGACGTCAGCTCAAAATTTTGCGTAGATAATGCCATTTAAATAGTACTCTATAAAATAACATGCGCCTGTATTTGTGGTTTATGAGTCCATCTTGCCTTTAGGCATCCAAATTTTCGCAAAAAAAGGAAATTAGATAACAATCTTTTGTATAATATAAAAGGAATGCAATGAATCACCTGTATAACTTAGTTCCCAGGCAACATGATGTCGTCTTTTTCACGTGAATAAATGGTCATCATTTACGTCATAGTGACCAAAGATTTCACGTGATATTGACGTAGCAATGACGGTCAAATGTCTCGTCTAGATGACGTCATTTTCTCACGAGCTATTGACGTGATGTACTGACGTCTTAGAGTCGTCATTTTGTAACGAATTATTGACGTGATTCACTGACGTCCCAGAGACGGCATTTATTGTCCATTTTAAGACGTTTTTTATATTTTGATTTTTAGAAAAAAATATGCAATAAATAAAACGCTGAAATAATTTTATTTTTTTATATTGTTTAGCTTAAATAAAATATTATAATTCGTTATAATCACCAAGTAAAGCCCAAAACAAAGTATATATTAATTAAAGTTGAAACAAATTACTCTAAAAAAATTAAATTTACTACAATTTTGTACAACCAACAATGAACTTCAATAAACAAATAAAAAATATGTCAATTAAACAAATTAAAGATAAACGACTCCTAAGAACACAAACAAATCTACATACAGGTAATTACGAGTATAATTGGTATAAACAAAAAAAAGGATATTGTACGATATATAATCAAAAATAAACGTTGCTATTTAAAGAAAAATCAGTTTTAAAAACACAAAGAAATCTATTTAGTTACAAAGAATATAAAAAAACTATAATAAACTATAGATGAGTCTTAAAAACACAAAAAAATCTATTTACAAAAAATATTCAAAAAAAAACTAGAATAAAGGGAAAAGACAATTGAATCGCATTGTTGAAGTTACTTGATTGAAAATGCACTGTAAAACCACAGTATATGTAAAACTATCTAATTCACGACGACTTGACTGTCCCCAACACACAAAAAAGTACCGTTAAGAATTAATTCTGTTTTAACAATCATATCAATAACCTAAGTTTTTTAAGTTTGCTTCAATTTATTGCACTGAAAAGAAAAACCCGTTAGAGTGCATGGATTAATGGAAATGCAATCATTTTTTCATCTATGGGCAATAGCAAGCATTTGACTATTATTAAATTTAAGGGATTACAGCTTAAAGCAGAAGACAAATTCTGTATTTTAAAAATGCTAAATTTACTTGAATCTAACGGATAATCGTAAAATGGTTTCATTGACAAAAACGTACAGCCTATCAGGAAAATCTCATTGTCAATACTTTTTACAATGAAGCGAAATGTGTATGTGTAAATAGTAAGTTACCAAAAAGTATCGTAGTATTACAGGCATCTACCGGTATATAATATCCAATATTAATGTTATATATGTATATATGAATTCATTGTATTTTTTTAACTTACAAAGAAATCTGCTTGTTCTAATATGCAAACATAATCTTGTAATTCGTCAAAATTTGTTTAGGTGTGGTTTTGGCGGCATAACTTCTATTTTTGTTTTCTTTTTCACTTGTCAGATTTGATGACGTTTCCATGTTGGGAGATTTTTTCACTCGTTTCCTTTAGCATTTCTTTCGTTTCGCACATGTGTTTTGTATTTGTTTCAAATCTAAAATAAAATTATGTTCATTAGCATTAGTTCATAAAAAATTGCAGTAACATACCTTTGCAATATTTTATAGCGCTTCATTTTCAAAAACAATCACCGTAAGTTCTTCATAATCAGTGGGAGTATCTTCAGTGATTAATGGTGGTCTTTCCAGCTTATCTGAAAAAACTGCTTTTGTTATCTACGTACAGTTATCAAAAATAACAGAAACACGTAAAAATTAAAATGATTACTTTATTAGATATTAACTTACCTACTATAAATAAGTACAACTCACACTGAATGACATAAATTTGCACAAAACTGCGTTAAAAATGAAGTGAGTAACGGATACACGAGAAAGTTTCGGTGGTTGAGAACCAACTGGAAATATTGGAATGCTTCTCTGTGAAGTGCAATAAACATAAATACCGAAGAAAGGGAAAGTCCGAATGCACACCCCAAACATCTGATGTATTGTATAGTAAATACGGATAAGAATAAATTTAATAAAACTGAATATTAATCACTCTCGAATTTTTTTGGTAACCGTCATCACTTTATAAACGTCTTTATAAAATCAAAATTCGACGAAGGAATTCTTCAAAACCTTGTCCCGTTTTAGGGACAATGGACAAAGAATTTTTATGACTGTGTTTGTGTCGTTGGGAAATAGTTATTTCTGGTTCTAGACCGTGAAATGATTTTTTGCATTTGAAAATGAACGCTTTCTTTGCGAGTGATGCGAAGTGAGTTGTATGATTCAGGTATATCCTGACCGAAATGATATCAACCAAATGCCGAGTGATCAGAAATAACTGAGTCTGTTTAAATTAAAATGTGAACTTTTCTGGTGTTTATGTTGATAATGATTAGGGTTACCAACCGTACTCTTTAAAGAGTACATGTACTCTTTTAGAGCTCAAAATATGAAGTACTCTTACTTTTTTATTTTAACTGCAAATGTGCTCTTTTTTGATCAACAACAGCAAGTCCGAGATTTTAGCCAACAGAAATGAAACTAGTAAATACCAAATATGGTAAAAACAGTAAAGTAAACGAAATAAATGTAGTAATTATACGTAGAGAAACGGAACGTTGAGCGCCATCTGTGAATTAGAAAATAAGGTACTTCTTTCGTGATAACCTCACTTATGTATCCTGTGATTCCCATGTGTTAAATTTTGTTGTTACTTTTTATCTATATTTCCTGGTACGTAAAATAAAGGCGAATTGATTACGGACTCTGAACATTTACTGAAAGGTTTGAAGTCTACTATAAAAATTATATATTATATATATTTTGTAATTTCAATCATTGCTCATAGGTATAGGTTAAGTTCCCGGACATAGTTTCGAAAGATGTCACGTCGGAAATGCAAGTTTTCTGATGAATTGGCTACAAAATACCCCATGTTTAAAAAAACCAAAATAGAGTACGAAGCATATTGTGAATCGTGCAACGTAACGGTTTCGGTGGCAAATGAAGGGAAGGCTGATTTGTACCAACATGTTTCGTCTGTGAAACATAAAACAAGAATACAAACTGCGGGCAGTTCAAAAAAAATTGACGGTTTTTTTGTAACACAACACACCAAATTAGAAGAAAAAATATTGTGCGCAGAAGCTACACACGCTTTTCACACGGTTAAACATCATGCAAGTTATAAATCATGTGATTGTACAACAAAATTATACAAGCACATGTTTTCGGATTCTGAAATTGCTTCCAAAATTTCTTCTGCTCGTACTAAAACCGAGGCTATTGTCAATAACGTGCTAGCACCACATTCTCTCCAGAGGGCTATGGAGACAGTTAATGGTATTCCCTTTATTGGAGTATGTACCGATGGTTCGAATCACGGCGCAACGAAGTTATTTCCAGTTTTGATTCAATTTTTTGATAACACACAAACTCATAGAAATGACGTCAGTTCCAGATGAAAAAGCGGAAACAATTTGTGCTTTATTAACCGCTACATTAGAAAAAAACAATTTAAAAGAAAAGTGTATAGCATTCACTGGTGATAATTGCAACACGAATTTTGGAGGTGTAAGCAGAAAAGGAGTTAACAACGTTTTTCAACATTTAAAAAACCATTTACAAAAGTCTCTTATTGGCATAGGTTGTCCAGCTCGCATTCTAAATAACTGTATCCAACATGCTTTAGATGGACTTCCTATAGATATCGAATCCATCGTTTTGAAAATATACAATTATTTCTCTATATACACTGTTCGAACAGAGGCTTTAAATGATTTTTGTAATTTTGTCGAAATACAATACAAGAAACTCTTGTTCCACTCCAAAACAAGATGGTTATCTTTATTTCCTGCTATTAACAGATTGCTGGAAATATATCCAGCTCTAAAATCGTACTTTTCATCACTGGACCATCCACCTGTAATAATTATAAATTTTTTCGAGAATCCTTTGAATGAGGCTTATCTGTGGCTCATACATTCTCTTATGTATATTTTTCATGGAAAAATAGAAGGCATGGAAAAAGAAAGTAATTCACTAATAGAAGTAATGAAAATTTTAAGTTCAGTGGAATCTAGTTTGATTGAGAGGAAGCAACAGGAGTTTCTGCCTCTGAAAGTGAAACAGATCATAAACAGTCATGTACAAAATTTACGAAGCACGACAATGAAAGACGAGTTGGTACATGTGTATGAAAGAGGCATACTCTATTTACAAAAGTGGACGGCATCTTTCCAGGAATTTAAAATATTTGAGTGGATGTTACTTGAAGATAAACCTTCTTGAGATAACATTGAAAATTGTATTTTGTACCTGGTTGAAGAAAAGGGCTTACAGATAAACGATTCCATGCTGTTTGATCAATTCAAGAATTTAAATATATTTTTAGACGAGATTAAAAAGTCAAATAATGAATTCGCTACGCTTTCAGCTGATTTAAAATGGGTACAATATTTTGAAGAGAGAACAGAAGCAGCAAGTTCTGAATTTTTAAAAATATGTTTCTATTTTTTTGCCATTCCGGGTCATAACGCAAATGTTGAGAGAATATTTAGTATGATGAAAGCAACCTGGACTGACCAAAGAAACAGGTTGATGCCGGAATCTATTAAAAAGATATTGATGGTGCAATATAATTTCAAAAATTTGACTTGTGAACAATTTTATGATTACTGTCTTCGAAACAAAGGACTCCTAAAAGAAGTGAGAAGCAAGGCTAAATATGACTTTTCAGTTGGTGCTGCTTCTTCTTCCTGTTAGTTTTTTACTGTTGTTTATATATGTTTATTGTTAACTTACTTCGAACGAATATGATATTTTTGTCTTATTATTTTTTTTTTTTAAGTTTAGAACTGTTATTCAGGAGAAATACATGTATACATACATACATAGTGTTGTGGTTCTTTAATAAAATAATACACAATATGTGTATATACCTCTATGAATACTTGGAAATTGTAATAATAAAAATTTCAATTGTACTCTTTTTCATCTGATGCAGGTTGGTAACCCTAATAATGATAAGTATAAGGGAAGTAATTCTGTGACAGATCTGTCAATCGTGACATGCGATAGTTAGCTGCATAGTTGGATACATTTTGCAATACATTTAGTTTTAACACAGAAAATAGCCATAAAAAATTTGTTTTTTATGCTCTGGCAATAACCAAACGAATAAGATTACAAAATTGACATTAATATTTACAGTGTGGAATGTGATTTCAGGTCAGATGGGAATTCCTTCTAAGAAGGTGCTAGATCTGTTGTATCACAATAGGAAATTAGGGGAAGACTGAGAGGTTTTGTATGGGTTCTTTTTTTAAGAATAAAAATATTAAACGGTCCGGGCCTGTGAATATCTTAACTTTTTTCTGCCAGTTGTGATCTAAAACTAAAACACGATGGATTGAACCTGTCAAATTCGTAATTACTAATTACCTATGTTGGTTACCTGCAGATCGTTTAGGGAGTTTTAAAAAGTTCATGTGTTTTACACCTTAACCTTCGCAGTAACATTTTGTCATTTTACAGTTTTCAAATTGAAAACGTAATTTGCTTTCATTTCAGTTCTGATATTTTGTTAATTCAAATTCCAAAATTTCAAATAGTAGAGGAAAGGCAGTGATTGTGGAATAGGGCGATAATGTGGAATATCACTATTTTGAAAAAATTGACAGCGCTATCTGTGTTCTGCTGGCATAACTCAAACACTCTTTGGTGCATAATAATGCACAGCTGCAGTTACCTGCTTTAACTGTGAACATAACCTAAGAATTAATTTATTTGTATATTCTGCAGAGTAGAAAAGTTTTGGTAAGTTTCAATTTTACTTTATATTTTTCATATAAGTGTTCTAAAAGTCATAGATATTGTCATACAGAATACGTCTCTAATCAACAGTTAAATGCCATCTCATTTAACATTTATTTATGAGGTATTACTATTATTTTTTAATAAAAATCGTTCGTAGGCTCGTTGCGTTAATGTGGAATACTGACTAGTAGGGTAATATGAACTATTCCACATTAACCGGTTTTAAGCTTAGATCATATAATAAATAGATACCAATACTCAAACTGAAAGCTGTGACTAGACATGAAGCTATCTGTTGTCGTTTTCTACGTCAAGGGGAGTAGTATAATGCTATCCTTGTGTGATCACCACATCTTCATCTTTGTTATATGCATTTCATCTGTATATGTCTATTTCACTTCCATCCTTGTACCGCACCAGCGCAACAAATCGCTTTTGACAGATGTTTCTTCTAACCTCTCTTTCGAGTTCTTGTACGAAAAACAGTTTTAGAATTTAGAATAAAGATCCTATTTTAAGTGATGTAATCATAAAGGATCACAATTGCAGCCCAATAATTTACTGTTCCTTTCGTTATCTACTGTGAATTATTTATAAAATCAAGCTGTCAACATCTTTCGTAGGAAGTTAGTTCAGACATACTTTCTAAAATTTAGGCGCGCAAAATTCAAATAGTGATCACTCAAGGATACCTTGATTGTAATCCCTCTATGCACAAGAGAGATGTGTGACAGGAGGATGTCGTCACAGGCTCTGCTAGGGAAAGAACACGGCGTGGTGGTATCTATTTATTATATGATCTAAGGTTTTAAGTTAATTCTAATATTACCTGTATTTTAAGGACTATGTCAGTCAAAAAAGAACAATACTATGGTCCGAAAGCGATATGGAAAAAGCTGCCGTAGCTGTAAAAAGTAAAAAAATTGGCTATTTGCGGGCAGCCAAACATTTCAATGTGCCTAGAACGACTTTATATAGATATGTTAAAAAAAACAAGGAAATTAAGAAAGAAAAATTAGAACTAGAAGAAGAACTTGTTCAATATCTGTTGACTATGGAGTCGAAATTTTTTGGCCTAACGAGGAAAGATGTGCGTTCAATTGCTCACCAGTTGGCCAAAGTAAATAAAATTGAGAATCCATTTAACGCATTTTCAGCAACCGCCGGGAAAGATGGGTTACGACGATTCTTAAAAAGACATCAAAATTTAAGTATAAGAAAACCTACGGGTACTTCTATCTCCAGGTCACTTGGATTTAATAGAGAACAAGTGGATATATTTTTTAACGAATTAGAAAAGTTAATGGCACACTTTAATTTTTCAGCAAATAGAGTGTTTAATGTGGATGAGACTGGCCTTTGCATAGTGCAGTCTAAAACTGCTGAGATTATTGCATTGAAAGGAAAACGTCAGATAGGAGCAATAACATCTGCGGAAAGAGGCTCTTTGGTAACCGCAGTTTTATGCATGAGTGCAGGTGGCGTGTTTATCCCACCCATGTTAATATTTCCGAGGAAAAATTCAAGTGAAATTCTCAAAAAAGGTGCTCCACCAGAAACGCTCTTTGCTTTTCACCCATCAGGATGGATCCAAACCCATCTTTTCACGGAATGGTTCCGTCATTTTGTCAAAAAAGTCCAACCCACTAAAGAAAATCCTGTGCTTCTAATACTGCATGGACATAACACACACACAAGAAACCTTGACGTGATTGTAGAAGCAAGAAACAACTTTGTCTCGATTTTATGTCTACCACCTCACACATCCCACAAAATGCAACCCTTGGACAAAACGGTCATGGGAGCTTTAAAAACCTACTATTCTGAAGAAATAAGATGTTTTATGCGTTTACATCAACGCGCAGTCACACATTTCGATATATCTGAGCTTTTTGGAAAAGCTTACCTAAAAGTTCAATCAGGCGAAAGGGCTGTGAAGGGGTTTAGAATGACTGGGATTTATCCCTGTCGTAGAGATGTGTTCACAGAAGAAGATTTTATTGCAGCTTCTCAGGTTTTAAACACTGTGGAACACCAAGCTAAGAAAAACGCTGTAAATGAAGAAATTTCCGCTCAAAATCAGGTAAAAATGGTAGTTTTACCTGAGGACATCGTACCCATTCCTCTGTTAAAGAAAACACAAGGTACTCGTGGGCGAAAGAGTGGAAAAGCAAAATTAATTACTTCAACACCGAACAAGGACGAGCTCGAAGAATCGATGAACCAAAAGGAAAAAAGGGATAGCGTTAAAAAGAGAATTTTTACAGAACCTGGACCAAGCAAAATTTCTTTAAAAACATCAACGAAGAATAAAAGAAAAAGTAAACCACGAGGAGCTCCACCTAGCAGAAGTGCTAACAGCAGCAGCAGCAGCAACGTTTCGTTCCACGATTCTTCAGATGAAGAAATGTCTATCCGTGAAGATCCAGACGAAAATGTAGAATGCATTTTTTGTAGGCAAAAGTTTTTGGATAGCCAGAAAGGTGAAATGTGGGTCCAGTGCGTCGTGTGTGGCATGTGGGCGCACGAAGAGTGTGGTGGCGCAGAAAAAGACGTTTATATTTGTGACTTTTGTCAGTAACTTTGTTGCAAAAATTATGTTTATTAATTAGAAAAAAATGTTTATTTTATTTTTATTATATTTTAGAATTTTCTATTATTTTTAAATAAAACAATCCAAATATTTCATCATTTCCATGTACCTTTGTATGCTAATGTGAGATTTTTGGCGGTATTCCACAATAACCACCCATTTTCTCGACCCCCGAAAATTACATAAAAGTACAAAATTTGTTATATATCGAACAAAAATCCATAATTGAAAAAAATCTTCTGAGAGGTTTATAGAATAATAATTAGCCTATCATTTGACATAGTTACATGATTTTTTGTTAAAACATTTTTTTCTGCAAGCAAGAACAAAAAGGGTATTCCACAATCACCGCCTCTCCTCTATAGCAAAATGACGGACAGAAAAAAGAAGACTCTGTCGTCGCTAGAAATGAAAATTGCGCCAATTAAATGTAGCGAAGAATTGCAAAATGCCTATCTTCAATCCGAACAATCCTTTTTGCATGATAAACTTGACAAGATTTTTTCGGTGAGAATTGAAACAAAAATAAATATAATTTCCTAAAATTTTCCTCGTTCCCTTCCTCTTCAAGATTTCCAAAAGTACCGTAAAACCAATTTTAAGTCAGCATGAAAAAGGCCAAGATATTTCTGCCTCAGTTAATAAACGTTGTAAAAAGTGTGACTTTTTTTGGAAATTTTTGTTTTAAAGAAGAATTAGCTTTGAAAATTCACGCTTTACATAACGAAAACTTTGTTTTTTAAAAAAATACTTGCAATATGTATTTAAAATATTATTATTATTATTATTATTATTATTATTGAAATACGGGAACTCAACAGGTATGTAACCCATTTACCGAGATCCACAACTACCAAAAAGAAAACAAATTTAATGAAATAAATAAAACAAACAAAGAAACCCCAAACACATAGAAAGAACTAAATAGATAATTAAGATAGAGTTTGGAGTTTTTTTTTAATATCAGCTGGTTTGCAACAAAATATGTCAATAGTTTCTTCTACATTCAAATAGTTCAAAATTGCCAGATACAATGGCGAAGATTTTAACATATTAGTTCTAGAATGAGGGAGTTCAAAAATTCTGCCACTCCTTAAGTTGGATCTAGGCACACGTAAGTAAATTTGGCACACGAGAGCAGGACAATTAATGCCATTATTAATAATGTTTGATAGAAGAACGATACTATCCACGCTACGTCTTTTTACCAGACTTGGCATTTGAAATCTAAATAGCAAAAGATCATTTGGAAAACCTTGTATAGGATAAACACCATCCTCCAAAAATGCAATAAATTTAAGAAAACGTCGCTGCCCTTTTTCTACACTGTTGATATGAATATTATAAATAGGATTCCAAACTACAGATGCATATTCAAGTCTAGACCGAACAAAACTAAAATATAACATCTTTAACGAATCTATCACCTCTATTCCTTTGGAGTTGCGAATGATAAAGCCAAGAGATTTGTACGCCGACGCAACGATACATTCAATATGCTGCATGAAATTCAACTTTAGGTCAAATGTAACTCCTAAATCTTTTATATGGTGTAGTCTTTCCAAAACGTTACTAGCTATGGAATAATCAAAATCGATAGTATTTTGTTTTCTTGAACAAGTCATGACATAACACTTACTATAGTTTAGTGGAAGATTATTATTTACAGACCAGTTACTTAATGTATCCAGATTACGTTGAAGATTAAGGCAGTCACTCCAATTTCGAATTTGATGGAAAATTTTTAGATCATCAGCATAAATTAGGCATTTCGCTGTTAAATGTAAAGTTATGTCATTAATAAACATATTAAACAATAGAGGCCCAAGAACCGAGCCTTGAGGCACACCTGAAAGTTGTTCATACCATTTAGACCGATAACCATTCAAAAAGACATACTGAGTTCTACCCAAGAGGTAAGAATTTATTAAAGTTATCAAATGATCTGAGAAACCAAAATATTTTAGTTTAATCAACATAAGGCGATGATCTATACGGTCAAACGCCCTGGAAAAATCAGTATAAATACAGTCCACCTGACCCTGTTCGTTTAACACCTCAGATAAATATTGTGTCTTCAGCACCAAATTAGTCACCGTAGACCTACCTTTCACAAAACCATGCTGACTATCTGTGATCATATTCGAAACGTGTGGATAGATTAAAATATGAAGGACATGTTCAAAAACTTTTGCCAGATTGTTAATTATTGTTATGGGTCGATAATTGGTAACATTAGATCTATCGCCATTTTTATAAATAGGAGTAATCCTCGACTGCTTCCACACATCAGGAAATGTGGATGTACGCAAGATTATGTTAAATAATATTGTCACCGGTTTTGCCAAAATTGTCGCACAATCTTTCACTAAGAATGATGGTATTAAGTCCGGTCCTGCAGTCATAGTTGGTTTCAATTTACGCATAGCTTTGAATACAATTTCTTCATCGAAGTTCTCTATATTGAGGTAGTCGATACTTGGATCATTTGAACTATTGTAATCAGAATTTTGAACAGAATTAGAGATGTTAAAAGCTGTTTTAAAGAAATCTGCAAAGGTTTCCACAATGTTCTGGGGGCTGTTTAAAGCATTTTCTTTATAAGACATCGTAGTAGGAACAGATGAAATGTTGTTTTTGGCCTTGATGAATCCCCAAAACCTTTTCGGATCGTTTTTAACATTAGCTGAGACATTATGCATGTATATCAAATAAGCATCTTTAACAAGTTTTTTTATGTCCCTTCTCAGTGCTTTGAAATTTTCATGAGCAATTACACAGTTCGTTTTCTTAAATTGCAGCCAAAATTTATATTTTTGTTTGATCAGATTGATTATATTTCTATTATACCAAACTGGATAATTACCGGCAGGTTTTTTCTTTGTAGGCACACATTTGCGTAAAATTGGATGTATGGCATCATAAAACATAGTAACTGCATCATGTATATTATTTAAATTCTTAAGAAAATCAAAATTAAGTTCTGCTAGTTCTGTGTAAAGATCAATTAAATTAGCTTTTTTAAAATTAAATTCCAAAATATGATCCCCATGTTTCTGTTTTTTTGTCCTATCATTACTAACACCGAATGTAATCTCCAGTGATGGATGATAAGGGTCTTCAGGAGTAACCGAATCAGTTGCCGATGTTACAGAGAGATTAAAGTTCGCATAAATTAAATCTAAAATTCGATTATCACAATTTATATTATTATTATACTGGATGAGCTCATAAAAATTTGACATATTTCCTAAAATTGCTACTTTATTACTAAGAAGAACATCACCTGTAGTACAATTCCAGAACTCCGTAACATTTAAATCACCAAGAATAATAATTTTTGACTCATACAACCAACTCATTGTCATTATACATTCAACAAATACGGAGTATTCATCCACAGAACACCTCGGTGGAATGTATACCAAAACTATGTAAACAGAAAAATTTATGGCAAATTTACATTGAACTACTACTATATCTATCCATGGAATTCTTTTAAGATGGTCATACAAAGGATGTAAATCAACAAGTACTGCCTCATAGTTCTTTCGTATAGCTAGGAGAACCCCTCCCCCTCTAGAAGTTGATGTTTGAATAAATCTGCGATCAGTACGCCATACATTGAATTGATTGAGATCAAATATTTCAGCGTTGTTAACCCCAAAGTTTAGCCATGTTTCACTAAAACAAAATATATCATATTCTAACGATGACAGTGTATTATTGTAAATATCTAAAATTTTGGTGTTTAAACCTCGTACATTCTGATAATAAATGTTGATTTGTTTAAAAGATACAGACTGATTGCAACTGGAACTTGATTGCAGTGATTGCTATTGGATACTAAGTATATTTCGCTTAAAATCTGATGTAGCTCTTTGATACGCACTACAGTTAGCAAGATCCCAAGCTGCGTGTTCTACATCAACTTTATCTTTTTGTCTACCATTCAATACTACACAATTAACGCATTTGAGATTTTCGCTATTGCAGTCTTTAACAACATGACGTTCAGCACATCTTGGACAGGTTGGCATTCTTTGAGAACATTGCTTTGAGAAATGGTGGTAGCCACAGCAATTGAAGCAGCGCCTTATTTCCACAGCATCATACACCATGCAGTAGTCAAGTCCTATGATTAAATAACCGTTCTTAAGTATATTATTATAAGCCGTAATATCCACTTGAATTATAGCTTGATACCTTACAGTGTTCGCTGGTTTATTAGAAGTGTTGTTACCCTTTTTATTCTTTAGAGCAGACCAAGTAATTACTTCACAAGCAGCAGTATCAGAAAATAAATCTTTATTCTGATTCACGATATAATTTGGTAACATATCATCTTTAATAAGTTCATCACCTGAAATACCCACCACTTTAACCCTAGGTTTTAGTTGCGGTAATTCTTTTACCACATACTTTTCACTTAATTTATCAGCAGCTATAACCGATATTTTGTCAACATCATCCTTATTAGGACACTTAATTATTAAGCTTCCATTGCGCCCCATCTTAGTATTAGATACCGCTACACCAGATTTTACAGGATCAACAGCATGCAGAACATCAGACTTGGTCACTGATATATTTTGTTTTACGTCTTTCGGTTGAAGAATGACAGTGGATGAATTTTTCATTGCTGCTGCATAATTTTTATTGCCTGAGGTTGATATCGAGTTACCTTCTATAAGTGATTTTTTAAGTTCTTGGTATTCATTCTCAAAGTGAGTACGTAAATCCACTTTAATCTTTTCAATTTCACTATTCAAATTCTGCGATTGAATTACCGAAAATTTTTCAAAATTTGCACACAAAGTAGCGATATCATCAGCAAGTCCAGTAATGTTCTTTTTTACGTTATTGAAGACGGATTTCTCTAAAACCTGACAACTACATTTGCAAGTATCACAAAGATAGAATAAGTTCTTATTTTTTTCTAACAGTTTAAATTCATTTTCCGTGAAGTTAACACACGAGTAGTGAAACCACTTATTGCAAATACCTTCACAGCCTATTAAACCATCCTTTTTTGAAGATTTACATTTAGTGCAATTCGACATTGCACTAATCTTTAAGGTCACACTTAATTATCAACATAAGAAAATACACGACAGCAGTAAAGAATGTTTTTACCAGTATACGAGTTCCCGCGCTTAACTAAATTAAAGATTTACAAAGTAACCACTATTAAATATGATGCTATGCTTACACCACTACCTCTCGGATAACGGTTAATTTGTATACACCATTATTACAAAAATGACTTGTAAATATTCACTATAAACTCACAAGAAACAGAGAGAACATCCACACACTTGCGACACCTCACAAGTCGATTTACTTATGACAACGTTAAATTTATATATCTTGACGAAACGCGGATATATCAAGTGATATTTGTCGTTGGATTTGAGAAAATGATAAAAAGCCAGACGGCTCCAAAAGAAGGCAAAAGGTTTACGGTTCTTCATGCTGACCACAAAGAAGGGTTTGTAGTTATCTCTTAGACAGTAGAATAGAAGATACGGACTACCATAAGAGGATGAATGGTCACATATTCAAAACTTGGGTTGAAAACCAGCTAATAGCAGCCCTAGATAAAATTGTTGGAAAAATTGTCGTAGTAATGGATAACGCTCCTTATGAAAACATGGTGGTCGACAAATTACCTAAGGGCCAAATTCTGTAAAGTATAAAGGTACTCTAGTAAAACGATTGACCTTTACATAAGTATATTCCTATTCTGTAAAACGTAAAGGACCCTTATAGATGCGTTGTATAAAGGTAAGGTCCTTTAACGTTTCACTTTATGCAAATTAGCTGTCAGTTTCATTATAGTTCTAGAGAACATTGATATGCCAAGATTAGTGTTTATGAACAGAAAAGGCCATTTCAGTTTGAATTGCCAGATAATATGTGATTCAGATTTAAGAATTCTGCACATGAATGCTCGTTTTACCGGAAGTGTGCATGATGCAGCTATTTGGCAACTCAGTGATATTCAGATTTATGAGACGTTTCTTTAATAATAATGATAGACAACCTGGCTACCAGGGGATTCTGCATGTGGTGTAGGTAGTTGCATAGGTGTGGGCGCACGCAGTGGAGAGCATGCGCCAGAGCCGAGAGCAATGATGGCCGTCGAATAGAGCGTTAAGTTAGAGAAGTTGTGTTTCTTTATTTGTATATAATCGCGGGTATTAAAAAAGGCAAGGAAACTATGGAGTTTTATTTAAGAAACACTACAGTGGCGACGAGGAAAATTATGGACAGATCGGCGTAAGTTAAAGAGAGAGTGAAAAAGCGGTGGCCACGTGGCAGTTAAGCGTTGGAAGAAAAAAAAAAACAAGATGGGCGGCGAAGATACGAAATCAAGTGAGGCAAGATTTACGAATGTGGGTCATCTGAGGCAGTTTACACTCAATTCAGACTGGAAGATTTTTTATACTCAGTTGACGCAATATTTTGTGGTGAACAACATCACAGACGACAAAATTCAACAAGCTCTACTGATCAATTGTTGCACCGAAGAATCATACAAGTTGCTGGAGAATCTATGCGTTCCAGAAGATCCAACGAAGAAAACATTCAGGGAGTTAATTACACTGTTTGACAAGCATTTTGTCCCCCCCAAGTTACATTTCCCAGAGAGGTATAAGTTTTATCATGCAGTACGAGGGCGAGACGAAGAGATAGTCGAGTGGGCGTCCCGAATCCGACATTTGGCGTCGAAGTGCAAGTTCGGGGCGGAACTACAAGTGGTACTGAGAGATCGCTTTATCATGGGGCTTGGCGAAGGAGTTATTTTAGATCGCTTATTGGAGGAAGATGTGAGTAACCTCACGTTGCAGCAAAGTGTCGATATTGCGGCTAGTAAGGAGGCGTCGAGGCACCGTTATGTATTGGACTCAGAAAGGTCCCGGAAGAAGGAAGAGGCGGAAATGTTCCAGTTGTCTCATCAAAAAATTTGGAGAGAGTCACAAGGCCAGGGAAGAGAGTCAAAAAGTTTAAGAAGAGGCAACGGTCGTGTGACAGGAAAGGCGGAATTTGGGGCTACTTCCCAGCTAGCAGCCAAGTCAGGATCGCAGTTATGGTGTAAGGTTTGCGGTAAAAAGGGACACCATGTCAGTAAGTGTCGTTATCAGAATTACATATGTCATATTTGTGGAATTCGAGGTCATTTAGCAGCGGTTTGCTCAAGTTCAAAGAAAGGTGGCAGGTCAAGTCATAATTTTTTGTCGACGGAGGCAGAAGAAACCATGTTCAGGGTGCAGACGAACGAGGTCAGGTACGCGCCAATTCAGGTAGAAGTCGAAGTTGGTGAGGACAAGTTAAGGTTTGAATTTGACAGTGGTGCATCTGTGTCGGTAATTTCTGAAAAGTTTTGGAGTGAACATTTTTGTAATTTAGCATCAAGGTCAGACGGTAAATGGTTGTCCAATTATAATGGACAGAAAATTGTACCATTAGGTTATGTCGAAGTGGAAATTAAGTTTAAAGATTTGCGCCATAAGTTGAAGTTGTATGTCATTAGAAACGGAGGTCCACCTTTACTAGGTCGAGATTTTTATTACAAATTTAATCTGGAATTTTTAAATAAAATTGAGTCCGCAAATAATAATAATGGGAGCGTCGCGGAATTGTTAGGGCAATTTCCGACAGTTTTTTCAGATCAGTTAGGGTTGTTCAATAGGAGCACCATACGGTTAAATATTTCAGAAAAAGCACAGCCTAAATTTTATAAACCTAGGCCGTTACCGTTTGCAATTAAAGACAAGGTGGAGCAAGAACTGGAGCGGTTAGTTAAGTTGGAAATTTTACAACCGGTTAATTTTAGTCATTGGGGAACGCCTATCGTTCCGATCATTAAAAAAGATGGCACCGTACGGATATGTGCGGATTATAAAATCACAGCAAATTTAGCGGTAGAGGCGGATTTGTTTCCTTTACCTAGGATTGAGGAAATTTTTGCAAAATTGAAAGGAGAAACCTTCACGAAGTTAGATCTTTCACGAGCTTATCAGCAAATAGGGTTAGATGAACAGTCAAGAGAAATTACGACAATTTCAACGCATAAGGGGTTATTTCAGTACACGCGCTTACCGTTCGGGCTAGCATGTGCACCATCTAAGTTTCAAAGAATAATGGAGACGATTTTACAAGGGTTAGATGGGGTGTGTTGTTTTCTCGATGATATTTTTATTACGGGAGAGAATTTTAGCCAGCATGTAGAGCGAGTGCACGCGGTGTTGACTAGATTACAACATTGCGGGTTAACCATTGAATTTTCGAAATGTGCATTTTTCCAAGATAGGGTAACGTATTTAGGATACGTGATTGACAAGACTGGGTTACATCCTTGTGAGGATAAGGTGAGAGATGTCAAGAACACTCCACGACCGCAGAATGTTAAGCAAGTGAAAGCTTTTTTAGGGTTGGTAAATTATTACAATAAATTTATACCTAATAATGCGAGTCTGTTGCACCCATTATATGAATTGCTCAAGAAGGATACACAGTTTGTGTGGTCGGAGCATTGCGAACGAGCTTTCATGCAAGTAAAAGAAATATTGACATCAGATCGAGTGTTAGCGCATTATGATGCGACATTGCCAATAGTTTTAACGACTGATGCATCAGAGCATGGGGTTGCAGCTATTATTTCGCATGTAGTAAATAATGTCGAATAACCAATAGCGTTCGCTTCTCGAACGTTATCGTGCGCGCAAAGGAAATACAGTCAGTTAGAGAAGGAGGCTTTAGCAATTATATTCGGTGTTACTAAGTTTCATCAATATCTTTTTGGTCATAAGTTTATTTTACAGACAGATCATAAGCCTTTGGTTACAATTTTTGGCCCTAAACGAGGCTTACCAGTTTTAGCGGCGAATCGTTTACAGCGTTGGGCGTTAATATTAGCGAATTATGAGTACGATATTAGGTTTATCAAGTCAATGGATAATAATGCCGATGCGTTGTCGCGGTTACCAGTAGCAGACGAGTTTACGGAACCAGCTGCTGACTATACTTATTTTAATTATATTTTTTCTAACTCAGACCTACCTATCGACAGTGCTTGTATCGCATCGGAGACTGTGAAGGACAAGGCATTAAGTAAGGTGTTGAAATATCTTCAAAAAGGGTGGCCGAAACGTATAACCAAGGAGTTAAAGGGGTACGAACAGTACAAGAATAATCTCACCGTAGAAGGGAATTGTATTTTGTTTGGTTATAGAGTCGTGATTCCAAAAGCGTTGCGGCATAATATTCTTCAGGAGCTACATAGATCCCATATGGGAATTGTGAAAACAAAAAGTTTAGCACGTTCGTACGTGTGGTGGCCTAATATGAGCACGCAAATAGAAAATTTTATTGCAAATTGTCCAAATTGTTTAAAGTTGCGGGAGGCTCCCGGTTTAAGTAAACTAATGCCATGGTCAATTCCAGATTCAGTTTGGGAACGTATACATATAGATTTTTTAGGGCCGATTTTCAATAAACAAATTTTAATTGTGGTGGATGCGTACAGTAAATGGACAGAAGCGTTTGTTATGACAAACATCTCAACTCAAGCAACCATTAATGTTTTGCGAAGTTTGTTTGCGAGGTTTGGGTTTCCCAAAACCATTGTGTCGGATAATGGCAGAGCTTTTACATCGGAAGAATTTGAAAATTTTTTGCGAGTTAATGGTATCCGATTTAAAAGATCAGCTCCATATCACCCCGCTACGAATGGTCAAGCGGAGAATTCTGTTAAAACGGTCAAGAGGGCGTTATACAAATGTTTAAAAGATGACAATCTTGCAAATTTTAATTTAGCGTTAAACAAATTCCTTTTGGATTATAGAAATACGGTTCATTGTATGACTGGTCAATCACCAGCAATGTTAATGTTAGGTAGGAATTTAAGATGTAGACTAGATTTGTTACGACCCGACACCAGGGCCGTAGATGTTGGTAAGGCAGGCTTGCAGCAAACGTGGCGTAAAAAGCAAGCTCAGGCAGTTAAACATTATAAAGGTAAGCGATCCCAACAATTTCATGTCAATGATACTGTTCTAGCACGTGATTATCGCCACGCCAAGCCAGCTTGGTGTGCAGGCAGCATTGTCAAGGTGTTAGGGCCGCGCACCTATTTAGTAGAAATAACGGAAGGTTATGTGTGGAAACGACATATAAATCAGCTGTTAGTCAATAGGGCACTACGGAATGTACAAGATAAGAACGTAGATACTGAGGATAAGAACTATGTAGAGGATAGGAAAATTCTGTTAGATTGTAAGATTGATCAGGACGTGCAGGATAATCAAACAGAGTTGTCAAAAGAAAGCTCTTTAGTCACAAAGCTGAGACGGCGTAGTCAATTGAAACCGCCAGACCGTTTCCGATACTAAGGAGATTTCTTATATTTTTTTAAGGGGAGAGTAGTGTGGTGTAGGTAGTTGCATAGGTGTGGGCGCACGCAGTGGAGAGCATGCGCCAGAGCCGAGAGCAATGATGGCCGTCGAATAGAGCGTTAAGTTAGAGAAGTTGTGTTTCTTTATTTGTATATAATCGCGGGTATTAAATAAGGCAAGGAAACTATGGAGTTTTATTTAAGAAACACTACACTGCACATCCGTTAACACCTTATGTACTGACGCCAATTAATGGGGCAGATCCAAATACTACAGAAGGACGATATACTTTTGTTCATCGTTTAGCTAGAAATAGCATAGAACGATGCATTGGAGTTCCAAAAACCGCATGGAGATGTTTATCTCAGGACAGAGTTTTAAAGTAAATACCATCCACTATTTGTATCTAACGGATGGGCTAAAATTATCCGGGAAGTTTAAAAAACGTAATAGGCTGATGTCAAACAATTTTTAATGTCAGTTTATATGTGTCACTATTTAGAGTAAATTCTTGTTTTATAAGCTTTACACTAATTATTCTGATAATAAAATGTCAAAAAGTGAAGATTTAAGAAAGCGTGTTTATGCACTACTTGGATGTATGGACAAAAAATTAGTGATTCAACATTTTCGGGCTGAAAATGTTCCGACTACAATTTATGATATTATTAAACATTTCGAAAATTATGTGCCTTTCAATCATAAAGCAAGGGCAGGAAGACCATCACGCCTAAGTACCAAAGAACAGAGAAAAGTGGTTCGTTCTTCAGAACACAAGCTTGGTGCCTCCCAGCGCAAATTATCAAGAAAATGTTTAGTTTCAAGAGGCTGTATACGTTATACATTGCAAAAATATGGTGTAAAATATTATAAAAGACCGAAAGCCCCTAAATATACCGAAAAACAGTTTGCGGAAATTCCCAAAAAGTGCGGTAATTTAGGAATAGTATATTATATTATTAGGTTCTAAAGTGTATCTTTTTTTTACGAGCAATGATTTCATTTGCGAGGCGGAGCGAAGCATAGCCGAGCGAAAGCAATCATTGCGAGGCAAAAAAAGACACTTTAGAACCGAATAATATATATTATTTTTTCTCCAACCGCAATCACGAAACTATTTCGTTTTTGTTTTTGAACAATTTAAATTAACCAAAAACTCGTTGGAAAATAAAGTAGCCTATTTCGATGTAGTCATGGAAAATTTTCAAACATTATCCGCCATATTGCAAATTTGCGAATTAAGTTGCAAGTTAAAGTGAAAATGGATTGTAATAAAGTACCAGAGGATATATTAGAGTGTGCCAAAGAAGTTTCGTTAAATCTTCTTCCCCAGAAATCCCGAGAAATTTATGAAAGTGCATATCAACGTTTCGTGGAATGGTGTAAAGAAAAAACAGTTCAAATACATTCTGAGGATGTCCTTATGGTGTATTTCGCCAACTTACCAAAGAAAGTGAAACCGTCTACGTTAAATTATGGTCACAGTATTCAATGTTGCGATCAACATTCGATATTAAAAACGGAGTGAATATTAGTAAATATTGCAAGTTACGCGCGTTTCTTAAAAGGCAAAACGAGGGATATACTCCAAAAAAGGCACCTGTCTTTAAAAAGGAGCAAGTTGATCGTTTCTTACATACAGCACCAGATAATTTGTATTTGATGATGAAGGTTTGAAATCTTAAACAAAAACAGACTTTTTTGTAAATATTCGTATTTTTTACAGGTTGTCTTAATATTGGGAATTGCAGGCGCATGCCGTTCTGACGAATTAGTCAATGTAGAAACGGATAACATCAAAGATGTGAAATCGGCTTTGATTATAGCGATTCCTAACACTAAAACGAAGAGGCCACGTTCTTTTACAGTGTTGGCGGAAGATTATTTAAGTCTGTTTCGAAAATAGTTTACGTCCTGCAGGTTTGGAGGAAAGTCGATTGTTTCTTAGATATGTTAATGGGAAGTGTCATAGAATGGCAGTTGGTATTCATACAATTAGTGCCGTACCACAAGAAATTGCAAAATTTTTGAAGCTAAATATATAACTGGAAAGACTATACGGGACACACATTGCGTCGGACATCTGCAATCTGCAACCCTTCTTGTTGACGCCGGAGCTGACCTCACCTGCCTTAAACGCCACGGAGGGTGGAGGTCAAGTGCCGTGGCTGAAGGGTATATTGAAGAATCCTGTTTAAGCAAAGAAATCATTGCAAAAAAAATACTTCAACCTGATATACCAAGACCAACTTCATCGCGTGAACTCAAAACTTTAGGATTAAGTTTTAATCATGTTTCTGAGCAAAATACTACTTTTGAAAACATAATTATTTCATCAGCTAGTGAGGACATGTTCCGTTGCTCTGAAAACTCTTCTACGGAAGATGGTATTGGTAGTTCCTGCAGTGCTTTATTTAATTTTAGTAATTGTGAAAGTTGTACGTTTAATATTACTGTTAATAAATAATAAACAATTAAGATTTGATGAAAGTACTAACCAAAGTCTAAATTTAAATTTTGATACCTGAATACTTTTTATCTTTTTAATTTTATTTAATTTAATTTTAATTTGACGGGAAAACCCCAATTTACAATACTATAAACTATACAAATTGAAATTATCTTAGAAAATACAAAAACAAAAAACTAATTAAGTAAATAAAATCTATATACTTATAAACCCTTCACTAATAATTTTCCTAAAGAATTGAAAATGAATTAAACTAAAATACTAACATTCTAGCATACACTTTAATTTACAGACCTAAAATACACTTAATTCTAGATTTGAATTTTGATCTGCCACAATCAAATAATAAAAATATTGAACTTTCCGCCATCCTATTAGCCGTTTCCATCATCCGTTTGATCGGATGATTTTGTGATTTGTTAGTCGTGGACACAGGTACCCTAAATATCACTGTGCTCCGAGTTTTTCTACTATTTGAAGGAGGTATTAGAAATGTTAGTTGACGCAACAAGCTAGGATTGTCTATGTAACCATTAACTAGCCCATGAAGAAAACAAACATCGTACATTTTACGTTGATCCTCTAATGACAATATTTGCAAATTACACATAATCTACGAATAATCCCCTCTTTGATGGACCCGATTAAGTTTGAATTCCAACACTCGTAGAAATTTTTTCTGGACTCTTTCTAAAAGGTCGATATCTTTCCTATAAAATGGCGACCATACAGGAGAGCAATATTGAAGATTTGACTGCACCAAAGAAAAATACAAGGTTTTAAGAGCAGAGACAGATAATGTACGACAGTTACGCCAAATGAGTCCCAGCATGCTTATTGATTTATTGAATATATAATGAAAATGTTCCTTGAACGTAAGTTTGGAGTCAAAAATGATTCCTAAATCTTTGACTTCATTTACACGAATTACTGAAGATTTCCCTAATTGGTAATCAAAATACAACACTGATTTGACATTAAAAAAAGAAATAATACAGCATTTTTTCAAATTCAACGGAAGTAAATTGCTCACTGTCCATTTATGCAGAGTATTTAGGTCTAGTTGAAAAACTGAAGCATCATCAACAGATTGAATAGTTCTAAATAATTTCAGATCATCAGCATATAGTAAAAATTTAGAGTTCTGAAATCCAATTGTCAAATCGTTAACGAAAATTTGAAACAGTATAGGTCCACAATGTGAACCTTGTGGTACCCCAGAAAATGCAAAGTATTGAGAAGACAGATGATTACCAATTTTAACTTGCTGAGATCTATTAAATAAAAACGATGTTAGCCGCTCGATAGTCTTCCCACTGAAACCTAATTTAGTCATCTTAAAAATAAGTAACCTATGATTGACTTTATCAAACGCTTTTGAGAAATCTGCGTATAAAGAATCTATTTGTCGTTTTCGAGAGAAAGCATCATTAAGATAGCAGTAGTATTCCATCAAATTAGTTAATGTTGATCTACTTTTATAAAAACCATTTTGTTTAACAGAAATAAGAGACGAAGAAATCCACTGTAATTGTTTGGCCACAATAAAATCTAATATTTTTGGTATTACTGACTGATTACATACCCCCCTATAATTATCAGTTATAATATATTAAGTGCATCGCAATGTTATCGATAATTTTGAGCAACAATAACTCGAATGCTTGTTGCATTGAAAACGCACGAGTGCTTTAGCACGAGTGCATTTTTCTTAGGCAACAAGCATGAGAGATTATTGTTGTTCAAAATTATCGATTTCATTGTGATGCACGCAATATATTCAACAGATTATTGCAAGAACAAACATTTTAAAAATAATTTTATAATGATTTACGAAGTAGTTTGGTGTGCGATACTATGGCGACGCAAGTAAATAAGAACAGCCATTTTGCAAAATTTGTGTGGGTTTAAAAAACCATGTCCAATTTTCGTTTTGGTCGTAACACGCCAAAAGAAATTGATGATTCTATTACAAACATTACGCCGCTAAATACGAAGAACTCACGAAATTCAATCTGGAGGCAATTTGAGAAGTTTTGCGGTGAACGCAAATATGTTTTTGATGGAAACACTTCCACGGAAAAACTAGCATTCATCCTCAAAGATTGGGGGTACAATATGAAAAAAGTCGATGGTAATGACTACAAAGAAGCAGTAATAAAAACGATGTGGAATGTAACGGCAAAGCAGTTGCAAGAACTGTATTTCAATAAATTTGGTATAAAGTTTGATCCTTTTGTTGACCTGGAATTCAAGGGTAGTAGAAATGCACGCGACGCAAAACGCCGGAACCTACAAATACAACCGGAAAAACGCAAAACTAGTTCCTCAATTTTGACTCTAGAAGAATACAACAAGATTCTAAAGATTTATAACGAAGACACGCCAGATGGTTTACAGAAAATGTTTTTTTATGTGGCTGGATTAGAATTAGCTTGGAGGGGATGTGAAGGTGTTAACGTTACTATCAAACATTTTAAGGAAGAAAGTGATAATTGTGGTTTGCCTACGGGGCGAATAGAATACA